AAAAGAAAGCTACTGGAGGCCTGTGATAGCGCAACACTGCGCGTCCACATCAGCGCTGACCCTCAGTGCTTTATTTCAGACCAGAGATAACATCCCGGCTTTGATGTCCAAACCGCTTAGGAAAATTGATGGTAATTGGCGTGTTTGTGTGCGGATTGTGGTTTGCATCCCGGAGGAGCGAGAGAACGAAGGCTTCGGTTATCGTTCATTATCTGCTTTGTCTCAGATGTGAATTCCTGAGGAGACGCAAAAATAGAGCAATGAGATGATCGCTGACGCACTGTTGGAAATACAGAGATTGAAGATTCAGGAGACCGATCTGTAAACCCTGCCTTTTACTATGAGGTTTGAAAATGCAGTATGATGTGACTGAGACCATGTCCGTGTGGTTGAAAAACACTATTCAAGAGTTCACACTTAGATAATGCTTGACTATTTAAGCAGGTTTGGCATGCTGTCCCGGGAGAGAACCCTGAGCTCGGTGATAGATGAGCCCAAGGCTCCCGCCTGGTCAATGAGGATTAGGAAGAATATGAGATCAGGTAGTTCTCGATAGCTTCCCAAATAGACCACTAGTTTGTAGTACGTGCTTGTGACTTTTGTTGCATGGTTTATTTGAGTGTGGGACGAAACCGGTGTGCATGGGGAAAACCCACGCGAACACAGGAAGAACATGCAAACTCTGCACAGAGAATATCGGTTGGCTCAGCTAGTGTTGAACCAACAACCTCCTTGCTGTGGGGCAATAGTGCTAGCCACCGTGTCGCCCGAACTGAGGAGGAGGGAGAAGGGATGGATGGGGAAGGTTTCCAAAACGATCTATTTCTTCCAGTTCTCCTCCATTTGCATAGGGACTCGGCACAAAGGATTTGACGCGTAAAACCACAAACTTGCAATGCAACAGTTTACTTTTCATTTGTCAGGAACAACAAAAATAAAAAATACAAACAAAAGAACTATTTACACTTTCCCAAGCTTCCAAATAAATATGACTTTGAAGAACGACTGTCTACCTTTCTAGAAAGACTGTCTCTCTTTCTAATCCTTTTTTTTCCTGTTGCTTGCGCATACAGATGTTACTACTTCAATGTGTTCCTTGTGCCGCCATTCATGCCGCGGCGACGGCGGTACTTGATGCGCCAGCAGCATTTGACCGCTGGGTGGCACTTTAACCACAGATATTCAGCTTTGCCTTTTCACAATGCTAAACAGACTGTTCTGTAGGCGTAGCTTACTGTATGTGATGTGATGTGATGTGTTCAATTAAAATATAATTTTAATTTAGTTTTTCTGGTAATAGACATGCTCTTACACTATACTATGCTGTAGAAAAGATACATGGTGAGAAGTCAAAAAGCAAATATAAGAATTAAGTTATTAGCCTTCAGTGCCCGATTAAATTGCGTTGGGGTGAAAATAATGTTTTGATTTCTTTGATTATCATGGCAATGTTATTATCTCAAATCTTAAACGTGAGCATATAAAAAACAGCAAAATAATATAGATTATTCTGCCGGTAGAGCACATCACCTCACAGTTGTGAACTTGCGATCACCTCAACTTACATTTAATTTTTTTTTACCTGGTTTATTGTAAACTTATTAAGTGCAAAGAGGATTTGTTTTGGAAAATAGAATTGAAGAAATGAAAGACAACTAAAGTGAAAGCACAAACATTCAGTACAAATAATTAGTCTTAAATAAATAAATAAATAAATAAATAAATAAAGCAGTCTTTTAGTCTAAATATAGAGAGATGTAGTGTTGGCTATTTTGATAGAACTAAGACTAGACATGTTCATTTATATTTTTAATTTACGTTTTTATTTACATTTTCGTTGTTGATTATATTTACGATCTCATTTTATGTTTCAATTATAGTACATAATAATAAACGAATAATGAAAATAAATGAATAATGAAAATATTACATAAATTAAGTCTGGCAGGTTTATTTTTAATAATTTAGTTTCAGTTCCGTTTTTTTGTTTCAAAACGTCAATGTTCTGCTTTAAAGTATAACTGTTGTTTTGTTTTGTTTTTTTACTTAATGGCTCAGTATGTTTTGTATTTTAATTTCATATTCAGTCACCTTGCATATGCGTGTGAAATATAATGCCGCATAACCGCGGAAAAAGAAGAAAAGGCTGTCAGTTAAAGCTAATTAATCAAAATTGGCTATATTAAAATACAGCATTTATGTTAATACAGGCAGAGTGTGAACAAACGGCTAAGATATGTGCTAAGATATGTGCTAAGATATGTGCTTGCCTTTTAATGCATTTAAAAATATTTGCGGCCTTTTTATACACTATAAACAGAGCGGCACCTATTTCAAACGGCGGCGGTACCAGCCGCGGCGTTAATAGCCACTTTGAACTCTCACCTACTGTACATATGACGTATGGCATGATTTAACATATAAAACGTCATGTACATAATATAATATCACTTAATAAACATTTTAAATACTGTATCAAATAGCAAAAACTTTGTATCTCAATACAAATAATATAATATTATAGAAAAATATTACAAAAATAAAAAGACAAATCTCTTAGTGCTCTTTATGGCTCTAACAACGAAGACGAGGATTGAAGTTTAGGCTGGATATTTATATTGAATTTAGAGTGATCCGTTTGGCTAGTTAGTGATTAGAGATAGGGATCAGCTGTAGTCAATCCTATCACGTGTTCCTCTCGAAATTAATTTTAGAAACTTCACTAATATTTACTATACATTACTATAGTATTTTTATGAGAGGACTTGCAGCTTTTTATTTGAGCGATTACTTCACTTTTCCCATATATTTAACTGCTACCTTTTTGTTTGTATTTAAATGAGGTTTAAAGAAACAAATTTAACGAATTAACTAATTAAGGCTAAGGCCATGGTCACTTACATGAGCATTTTTAACCCAAGCTAATAAGGGATATGTACCCCGGTATACGTTTCTGGAGAGCGTGAAATATGTCCAAGGAGGATTTTTTTTTTAGTTTTTGTTTTCACGAATCCACCAGAGTGCCAGTTGCGCCTGCTTTTCTCATGTAAATCCCGCCCAGCCCCTTCCCTAAACCCAGCTGAGAGTGGTTTTAAAAGCACAGACTGACCCGCTCACCCATTTCCCTAAACACAACCGACTGTTTTTTAAAAGCACAGATTGACCGATTTTCTTTCTTTCTCTCTTCCTTTCTGCCTTTCTTTCTTTCTTTCTTTTTTGCCATTTCTTTCCTTTTTTCTTTTTGCTCTTCATTTCTTTCTTCAATCCTTTCTTTCTGTCTCTTTCTATTTTTGCTCTTCCTTCCTTTCTTTCTTTCTTTCTTTCTTTCTTTCACTCCTCCTTTCTTTTTTCTTTTTGCTCTTCCTTTCTTTTTTCGATCCTTTCTTTCTTTCCTTCTTGTCTTTCTTTCATTCTTTCATTCTTTTTTCTTTTTGCTCTTTCTTTGTTTCTTTCTTTCTTTTTTCTTTTTGCTCTTTCTTTCTTTGTTTCTTTCTTTCTTTTTTCTTTTTGCTCTTTCTTTCTTTGATTCTTTGATTCTTTCTTTCTTTTTTCTTTTTGCTCTTTATTTCTTTGATTCTTTGATTCTTTCTTTCTTTTTTCTTTTTGCTCTTCCTTTCTTTGATTCTTTCTTTCTCTTTCTTTTTTGCTCTTCCTTTCTTTTTTCTTTTTGCTCTTTTTTTCCTTCTCTTTCTTTTTTTGCTCTTTCTTTCTTTTTTCTTTTTGCTCTTCCTTTCTTCGATCCTTTCTTTCTTTCTTTCTTTCTTTCTTTCTTTCTTTCTTTCTTTTTTGCTCTTACTATCTTTTTTCTTTTTGCTCTTCCTTTCTTTTTTCCCTTCTTTCTTTCTTTCCTTCTTTCTTTTTCTTGTTTCTTTTTGTTCTTTCTTTCTTTGATCCTTTCTTTCCTTCTTTTCTTTCTTTCTCTTTCTTTTTTTGCTCTTCGTTTCCTTTTTTCACTTTGCTCTTCCTTTCGATCCTTTATTTCTTTCCTTTTTTCCTTTCTTTCTTTTTTTTCTTTCTTTCTTTCTTTCTTTCTTTCTTTCTTTCTTTCTTTCTTTCTTTCTTTTTGCTCTTTCTTTCTTTGATTTTCTTTCTTTCTTTGTTTCTTTCTTTCTTTCTGCCAATCTCTGTTCAGCCAATCTCTACTTTTATTTTCATTGCAGTTATTTTATGTCTAATTCGGTAAATTAATGCTAAACTCTACCTTAAGACATTGTTCACAGCTAAAGAATGTTGAGTAAAAAGTTGGTGGAGAAAAATTATTTTTGTGCTAATGTAAGAGCAGTTAAAACAGACCCGTCAATTTAGACCGGGAACACTAAAGAAACGGGGAGGATGTGAACACAACAGGAGGGTTAACCTAGTTAAGCCTTGATATTTCACTTTAGGCTGAATCTTACTGAAAAGATCTTGAAGAAAATCAAGTCAAATATTAGGTGCTGTAAACATGGCAAAGATAAAAGAAATCAGTCACAAATGAGTTATTAAAACTATTATGTTAAGAAATGTGTTGAACAAATATTCTCTCTGTTAGTCAACAATTAGGGGGAAATGTACAGGAGGGCTAATAATATATAGAGTATGTTTCATAAAACACTGTAGCATTTACAATATATATATATATATATATATATATATATATATATATATATATATATATATATTTATTCCTACAATATTTGTTAATATGGCATGAATGTGTGAATCTGCTGGTAAAGAATCATCTTTGAGGGAAGCTTTGCTGAATTGTCCTTAAATCTGCCGTGTTTTCTTGAGTCCAGAAAGAGACACGGAGGTCGCGGCTCAACACAACCCCAATAACCAGCTCACTCCTCTCTTTGTCCCCATCCTTTTCTGCGGTGTTTGTGGCCTTTCTTTCCCGCTCTAAACAGCCAGATGCCTGAGCTTTTCTTTCACAGAATAACTATGGACATCCTTGTCTTGTTTCCCTCCTTTTTTTCACTTCATGAAACCGCAGTCAATGTGTCATTGTGTGTGTTCAGGAGGACCCGACGCGCACACACTTTTGGTGGTCTTGGTCACTGTCTACATTGGTGGCTGGAGTAGTCGGAGGATTACGCTTTTGTGCGTTGTGAAAAGGTAAGAGAAGTCACTTATTTGAGCTCAGTGAAGCTGCTCCGGGTAGAAATAAGAGACAGGCTTTTGAAACGGCCCTTTGCAAGGAGAGATGGACTCTATACACAGAAACAAACACACAACAATGCATGCAAACAGTCACACTTTACAATACTGGACACTTAGTTCATGTTAGATAAAGGGATAGTTCACTTTTTAAATTTAGGATTTTATTTTAAATCAATTCCTTCAAAGATTCCTACAAAACTGAGTATCATATTATAGTATCCTCTAAAAAACACTTACCGGCCACTTTATTAGGTACACCTGTCCAACTGCTTGTTAACGCAAATTAGCAATCAGCTAATCACATGGCAGCAACTCAATGCATGTAAGCTGCGGTCACACTAGAGTTTGTGTGTGCGAAATTCTGTCATACGGCAGTGTGAAAAGGCGGCGGGATTAAACAAAATGATCGGAAAAGTAAAAAAGCAAGCTATCGGTCCATGTCTTTAATTTCCAGAGTGGTCATGTTTTGATCTTCGATTGGTCTCACGCAGTCATGTGATGTGATTTCGCAGGTCAGAGTTCACCAAGCTTGAACTTTCAAGCAGCGAACTGCAGAATGGCAGTGCATGGCAGCCTGGGCATTGCACTGGACTAGGGGTGTCAATCGAAATCGATCGAAATTTATGCTCAATTTCGATTATCGAATCAAAAAATAGAATGGTTGATGCTGCCACGCCCCCATGTCACGTCAGCTTGGCTTGCCAAGCGTGAAAAAAACACACTTGTTGAAGTGCTTGTTAAACTGCAGAAGCAGGAGACCCGTCGACAGAGCTTAAACCCTCTCCTCTATTAATGAAGTCGCCGGTGTGTAAGCATTTTAGATTTCCAGTGAGTTATGTTGACAACGTTCGTGTTGTCGACAAAAAAAAACACAGTTTTGCAAGCTCTGCTATGTACGTATTACGTACGGTTCGTCCGATAGACAACACCGGCATCGCGATCCTCCGCCCGCCCCCGTTGCAAATCCGCTCACGAAAAGTACACACTCAGGCCCTGTTTACACTGTCTTTGTTTTTAAATGGCATTTTAGAACGACAACGATTTGACATCCACAGTGGCGTGTAGCATTTCTGAGCAGCCCTCCTTCCTCTCTACCTCTGAAAATGCACATCACGTGACCACACACACACAGACGCACACACAGCCATGCGCTCGAGACAGCAGGTCCAGGCAGTCAGAGGACTGCTTCAATCTTTCACTCACTTGTACTTAGTCATTTTAGCGAACACCTCAGATACTGTTGGCTGGTTCCTGTTGATTGTGCGTCTTTTTTACCGACGCCATTATAACGACACAGATCACTGCCTATTCACGAGTCCCGCAGAAAAAGTGATTGACAGGTGGTAATTATGTGTGTAACTTACCTTTATTCATTTACTGTATGATTTGTTTATGGGTAAAACAAAGACCATGCAGGTCAGGTAGTTTAAACGGTAGGCTACAAATAGCTAATTGGTCATTAATTAATTAATTATTCATAATCGAAAATCGAATCGAATCGTGCCTTTAGAATCGAAAATGTAATCGAATCGAGGATTTGGAGGATCGTGACACCCTTACACTGGACTTATCCATGCCACATGTCATACTTTTTTAAAGCATCACAAAACAACTGACACACACTAGACACACACTATAACTTCCACCTCCTCAAATTATAATTAATTCTGTTGTTTTATTATAATTATTATTACTATTATTATTATCAACATGAGTATATTATCACATGTATCCGTCCACCTCTTGATCTTCCATCCTTTTTTCATTATTATTATTATTATTATTTATTGAACTAAATAATTCTCTCTATATATATACAGTTGAATTAAGAATTATTAGCCGCCTTTTGATTTTTTTCTTTTTTTTTAATATTTCCCAAATTATGTATGACAGAGCAAGGAAATTTTCACAGTATGTCTGATAATATTTTTTCTTCTAGAAAAAGTCTTATTTGTTTTATTTTGGCTAGAATAAAAGCAGTTTTGATTTTTTTTTAAAACTATTTTTGGGACAAAATTATTAGCCCCTTTAAGCTTTTTTTTTTTTCGATAGTCCACCAAAATAACAGTTAGGTTGCTTCTCCCCAAAAAACTTAAAATACTGTGTTGTTTCAGCTCAATTTAAATAAGTAGTTTGAACAAGCAGCAAAAAAATAATAGTAATAATAATTTTTGAGTGTTGATCATCAAATACTCCTATTAAAATATGTATATATATTTAAATTACAAATTAAAATGTATTGACGCAGTGGTGCAGTAGGTAGTGCTGTCACCTCACAGCAAGAAGGTCGCTGGGTCGCTGGTTCAAGCCTCTGCTGGGTCAGTTGGCGTTTCTGTGTGGAGTTCGCGAGGGTTCACCTCCGGGTGCTCCGGTTTCCCCCACACTCCAAACACATGCAGTACAGGTGAATTGGGTAGGCTAAATTGTGTGTGTGTGTGTGTGTGTGTGTGTGTGTGTGTGTGTGTGTGTGTGTGTGTGTGTGTGTGTGTGTGTGTATGAATGTGTGTGTGGATGTTTCCTAGAGATGGGTTGCGGCTGGAATCCGCTGCGTAAAAACATGCTGGATAAGTTGGTGGTTCATTCCATTGTGGCGACCCCGGATTAATAAGCCGAAAAGAAAATTAGTGAATGAAATGTATTGACATGAAATATAGTTATTCTAAATTGTATTAAATATCATACACTGTTTAAAATGTTGGGTTTCAGACAATCAATTTGGAGGGATGCTAACTTATTAATTTGTACAAATTTAAGTGCACTGCACACAAAACAATTCAGTTTTAAGTTAAAAAAACTCGAGTTGAGTTGTTTCAGTTATTTGATAAAAATAGATTGAACAAACAGCAAACGTAATGTGTTGCACACTGTAAAAATTGATTAGTTACTTAAAGCGAGTAAAACAATTGTCTTAAAGCAACAAGTCGACTTTACGAAAATATTGAAAGTAAAACCATTGTAACTTAGAACTGTTAAATTGACTTAATTTTTATAATTATGCTAATTGTACTCACTTTTTAAAAGTCAACTAATCCCTTTTTACAGTGTCAGACTATTTTAGCACGTCTGTTTTTTAAATAATTACTGTAATTATCACAATATTAAATATTTGGTGCGTCATTAAGTCTATAAAATCTACACTTATCCTGTATTGGATTTAGAAGACACACTGCAGTCTGGAAAAGATTTATTTTAGTGACTGTCATTTTGGTAGATACAAAAAAGATAAAAAATAAAAAAGTTATTATTTTACAAAAATAATTTGACATTTTTGTTATTATTTTGCAAGATTTGGGACTTCTTCCTTTTTAAAATAAGAACAGACTTACTATTTATTAATCCCAAAAAATGTGACTGTGTTAATGTGCACTGTGTTTGTAATGATTGTAATATATATATTATGGCTCTGGTAAAATATATATATATATATATATATATATATATATATATATATATATTTTACTGGCATTTTTATAACTTTGGTTACTAATACAGCATGTATGTATCACATTTTTCTGAAACAATAAAAGTAAAAAAAAAATGACAACAATCAGCATAATTATAAAAATTAAGTCAACTTAACAGTTCCAAGTTACAATGGGTTTAATGTCATTATTTTTGTAAAGTCAAGGCAGTTGGTTTACTTGCTTTAAGTAACTAATCGCTTTTAACAGTGTATGTTAAAGTGTTTGCTGTATTTTTATTAAGTAATTCAGCTTTTCTGTGTATAGGGACTCCATACACAAATATAAACACAACAATGCATGCAAACGGTCACACTTTACAATACTGGACACTTGGTTCATGTTAGTTAAAGGAATAGTTCACTTTTATAATGTAACAAAAAAAGCCATTTCAAATAAATGCAAACAAATGCTATTTCTCCAAAACAATCAATCATATTACAGCATCCTCCAAAATAAAAAAACTGCACAAATAAATAAATGTTCTTAACTGTGAAAAGAAAATCCTTCATGTTGTCCCAACACAAATTAAGTTAACTTAATAGTTTTTACAAATTTAAGTGGATTGAACAAAAAATAATTAGTTTCAATTCACTTTAAAAATAAGTGTGAACAAGCATTTATTGAGTGCTGATCATCAAATCATCATAAAAACATACAAATTACAGTTTTTCTAGTTTGCTTTGACCTGGTTAAAGAAACTAGGTTCATTTTCATGATCACTATCCCAGCAGAGCAGAGGACCGGTCTTGCAAATGTGTAAACCCTTTCTCATTGGGTTGACACATTTTTCCCACCATTTTTCCAAACCGTTAACACAGATGTCATTCAAGCAGTCCAAACTCCATTGTTTTAGTTTTGGTAACCAAACAGAATCCATCTGTTCCTAACTATTAAAAACTACCAACATCAGTATGAAATCACTGAAGCACCGGTTTGACACTCCTTCACACAAATCTTCAATTAGCCATCAGTCTGCAAACCTTATATAAACGGTGGAAGGTCTGTGTTGTTCTGTGCCAGCATTGATGGAGGAGGTCAGTATGGCTATGTCCTATACTCCCAGTAGTTTTGACTGTATATTAGTTTACATGTGTTTTCTCTAATATTTACAGTATTTTATTACTTTTGTCTGTTTTTTTATATACAGTATTTCAGTTTTCAGCCACAGTTTGAAAAATGTCATGAATTCAATATATATTTAATCAAAGCACATCTTATTCTTGATCCAATTCTTTGCAAAAAGGCGAATTTGACAGCCCAAATAGAGACAACAAATGCCATTGGCTATAAGCTACAATGGCAAGCAATGGTGGTGCATTTTGAGTTCTGCATTTTGTATTTTGTATTTTGTTGTCCATTGTGTAATGATTAATTGAAAGAGCTCATATACTTGTTTGCAAGTTGTGTTGTTTGAAGGTAAGACTAGCTTTTGTTGCATATGTTAAATGTTTTGACACGATATGTGCCTTTTGCAAGCAAAATGTGTCATTT